CCACCTCCCCCAGCCCTGACCCTCGCTCCCTCCGCAGCAGCCACCCTGCCTCTCTTCCTCCCTTTGCAGGTGGCTGGGGCATGGGGGCCTTTGCACTTGCCTTTTTTGCCTGGAATCCTTTGGGTTTGCTCAGGTGTCACTATAACAGGGAAGCCCTTTTTATTTATTTTATTTTTTATTAATATTTTGGGAGAGAGAGAGAGAGAGAGGCTTTCTCTGTGTGTCTCCCACTGGGGGTCCAGCCTGCAGCTGAGCCTGTGCCCTGACCAGAGCCGACCCAGCAGCCTTTCGGTGCTTGGATGACACCCAGCAACCGAGCCGCACACCAGGGCAGGGGAGCTTTCCCGACCAGCGTATGAGACCACCATCTGTAGTGATTCTCCACGCCAGGCAGTGTCCTCGGCTCTTAGAAGCCCGTCTCCCTTCCTGGATCGTAAGCTCTATGGCAGCATCGCCTTTGTTCCGTTCACTGTGATATTAAACTAGAGGCCCGGTGCACGACATTCGTGCTCGGGTAGGGTCCCTAGGCCTGGCCGGTGATCAGGGCGATCGGGGCCTTCTGGCTGCCGGCTGCCGGCTGGGGCCTTCCTTCCTTCGTTCTGAGCCACCCCCTGGTGGTCAGCGCACGTCATAGCGAGCAATCGAAGTCCCGGTCTCCCCGTCAAACTCCAGAGGGGACACTGCATCGTAGCCTTTTATATATATAGGTTGTTCTGCATGTCTCTAATACCTAAAAGAGCACCTGGTGTGCCTAGGCCAGCATGGGTTTGTTGAATGAATGGATGGATGAGTGGACGAACAAAAATGCTGGCATCAGGCCCAACCAGCGTGGCTCAGTGGTTGAGCTTCGACCTATGAACCAGGAGGTCACGGTTCAATCCCCGGTCAGGGCACATGCCCAATTTGCAGGCTTGATTGCCAGTGTGGGGCGTGCAGGAGGAAGCCAATCAATGATTCTCTCTCATCACTGATGTTTCTCTCTCTCTTCCTCTCCCTTCCTCTTTGAAATCAATAAAAATATATTTTAAAAAATGCTGGCATGAGGATCCCTTTCGCTGATGTAACATCTTGTGAAATTCTTCTTGGAATTCAGCAGGCGATATATGCAAGGTAAAGAAACGTTAGGTAGAAGTATTTGTGGTAGAGGTTATAAATATATATATAAATTTTGGATTTTTAATATTAGCTGATTTCAGTGTTTGTCTTATGCTGACCGTAGCCGACTGATGGATGCCAACACCAGAGTCCAGTTACTGGGTTCTGTCCAGGAAATTCTGTCGCCGTGTGCACCGACAATCCTCTTACGGCCTCGCAGGCATTAGCGTGTCTTTAAATAGCTGTGGCTGAGCAGCGGTTCTTCTTTGCCTCTGTATGGTGTTCTCATTCTCAGGACGTGGTATGTGGAAAAGGAAAGGACTTTTCTCAGGAAAAATCGAGAAAATGATGAAGACACATCCAGTGAGTGGTGTGTGCTGAGCAGATAGCAGAGAAACTAGCCATGGGCCTCGGTTCGTGCTCTCTGGGTTTTATGATTCAGAGACTGTACGTCTCTCTGTTTGCGAGAAAGAAGAATGTGGGTTAAAAAGGGGTGAGTGTGTCCCGGCCAGTGCGGCCCCTCGTTTGGCATCGACCTGTGCGCCCAAAGGTCGCTGGTTCGGTTCCCAGTTGGGGCGCGTATGGGAGGCAGTGACTGGACGTTTCTCTCTCACATCGATGTTTCTCCTTCCCTCCCTCCCACTCCCTTCCTCTCTCTCTGAAATCAATGCAATTGTTCAGGATTAAAATAAAATAAAAAAGTACAAAGTAAAAGTTGAATATGAGGTTTAGAAAAATCAGGATTTAAAAACAGTAAATTTACATGGTCTCATCTATACTAATAAAAGGGTAATATGCTAATTAGACCAGACGTCTTCCCGATGACCTTCTGGACGTCCTTCCTGACAAAGCCAGGCCCGAGATAAGCCTCCTGCCCCGCAGTCCCGGGTGCCAGTGGCTGCGGCTTGGGAAAGGGACAAGCCACCCGCCCACGGTCCCCTGTGGCTGCAGCCAGCCCGGGCGAAGCCGGCCCAGGTCCTGGGTGCCTGCAGCTGGCCAGAGAGAAGGAAGCCCGGGTCCTGGGTGCCTGTGGCCGGCCAGAGGAGGGAATCCTGGGTCCTGGGTGCAGGGCCAAGGTAGGGGCAGTTAGGGGCGATCAGGCTGACAGGGGAGCAAGTTAGGGGCGATCAGGCCAGCAGGGGAGCAGTTAAGGGCGATCAGGCTGACAGGGGAACAGTTAGGGGCGATCAGGCTGACAGGGGAGCAGTTAGGGGCGATCAGGCAGGCAGGCAGGTGAGCGGTTAGGAGCCAGCGGTCCCAGATTGCGAGAGGCATGTCCGACTGCCGATTGTGGGGTCAGGCCTAAACCAGCAGTCAGACACTCCTGAGGGGCCCTGGATTGGAGAAGGTGCAGGCCGGGCTGAGGGACCCCCACCCCCGTACACAGATTTCGTGCACCGGGCCTCTAGTTAACTTATCAAGTGCCCTCCTTAGAGAGCAGTGAGAGGAAAGGCGGAGGCTGAGACCTGTCAGTCAGTAGTTTTCTCCAGAGGATGCAGCCGCTCCGGGTTCTCCAGATGAACCAGGATCAGTTATTCATACATATTTGAGGGCCCAGGAGCTGGTGGTGGCTGAGACAAGCGCATCATATTCACTCTGACGGACCGGTAGATAGATGGGGGTGGGGGAGTGGAGGAAATGATGAGCTCCATCTCAGATCCCCCCAGTGAGCAGGGGGCGCAGGGGTCTCCTGGTGGTAATGAATGCCCTCACATACGGGAAAGCGTATTTTTATGGTATAGACGTGTTTTGATTGTACATTTCACCGATACATATTTTTAAACTTTTTATGTTGGAAAATGTAAAAAACACAGGAAGCAAAAAAAATAGTATCTAAAAGGAGATTAACCAGAGAACTTGCATGCATAGATGCATAACCATGGACACAGCCAATAGTGTGGTGGAGGCCTGGGGAGGGGACGGGAGCGGGTGGAGAGGGCAATGGGGGGGTAAAGGGGACATCGTTCAACAATGAAGATAAATACATAAAAAACCCATACGCATCACAGCCTGGACGAAGGTCACCTTCAGCTGTGAATTCTGTGCCCACACCTTCCCCCATTCCCCCATCGCGGGTTCTTCCTTCCCTTTGAGGTAAAATACACGGACATGCGCACCCCTCAGTGTGCCGTCTGACCCATGGGTGTCCACCCGTGGCCACCCCCGATGGAGACACGGAGCCTGCACATCCCCTCGCTGTCCCCGCGGGGCCCCTTCCCAGGCAGGGCCTCCTCGTTCCCAGGGCCCACCCCTCCGACGGTTTTCCCAATAGGTGAGCGTTGAATTTCCGCTCCTCCCGTGGAGTCACGGAGCACGGACTCTCTGTGTGTGCAGCTTCTTCCGCTCAGTCCGCTTTCCGTGGGTTCCCCCTGCTGTGGCTTGTTCAGTAGTTTTTCTTTTTCCTGCTGAATCGTATTTCATTATAGGAATGACCACGCTTGGTTGGTCACTGCTTCTGGGGATGGATATGTGGGTTGCTTCCTGTTTTAGGTAATGTACCTGGAGCTGCTGCATTCTTGTACAGATCTTTGTGCTGACATATCTTCTTTAAAATATATATATATATTTTATTGATTTCAGAGAGGAAGAGAGAGGGAGAGAGAGAAACATCAATGATGAGAGAGAATCATTGATGGGCTGCCTCCTGCACGCCCCACACTGGGGATCGAGTCTGCAACCCGGGCATATGGCCTCACTAGACTCGAACCCTGACCTCCTGGTTCATGGGTGGATGCTCAACCATTGAGCCACACAGGCCGGGCTGCACACATGTTCTCGAGTGCAATTGGAGGCGATTTTGGAGGAGCGGAATTGTTGGGCCAAGTGGTACACCTTTGAAGTTAAAAATTTTTTTTTCATATTCTAAATACCTGAAACCGACCTCACCAAATTTAGTTTCAAATAATGATATTTGATATATATTATTACTGCCTACTTTTTATGGAATTCAAATAATTTGATTTACACAAACCTGATTGAAATCTCCCATCCATGAAAGCGTTTATTTGCTTTCTTGCTGTTGTTGTTGAAGGAATTTGAGAATCAATAGGAGAAGTGGGGTTAGAGATCGATTGTCCTATCTGATGTGGTCGTGTTGTAAAGGCCCTCTTCCCAGACGGGGTGGTTATGATTTCTTTCCGGGTTTTCATAACCAGAGGAACCTGTTTCTTGGTGTTGCTCACAGGGACACACACACACACACACACACACACACACACACACACCACCGTGTGGACTTCCGGTCCCGCGTGTTGGAGTGGCGGGTTCTCCGTGTGCTCAGTGTGACTGAACAGAAACTAACAGATACTTTCCTGACACAGAGCTCTTCCCCCACAGCAGGCAGACGTGGAACTGGATGCTCACTCGCCGCTGTCTGACTGGGTTCGCTGCAGGATTGTCGTCGTCCATCCTCTTGGCTGAGTGTAACGTGTCTTAACATTTCCTTTGTCCACATCGTCTGAGGGGGGAGATGGATATCAGCTTTTCCGTCTGCTGTTGGTAAAAAGTGTGCTTTGGCCCGGCCGGCGGGCTCAGGGGTTGAGATTTGAACTACGAACCAGGAGGTCAGGGTTCGATTCCCGGTCAGGGCACAGGCCCGGGTTGCAGGCTCCATCCCCAGAGTGGGGCGTGCGGGAGGCAGCCGGAGCTCCATCCCCAGTGTGGGGCGTGCAGGAGGCAGCCGGACCGTGATTCTCTCTCTTCATTGATGTTTCTCTCTCCCTCTCCCTCTCCCTTCCTCTCTGACATCAATACAAATGTGTGTGTGTGTGTGTGTGTGTGTATATGTTTAAAGTGGGCTTTGCCGTATTCACCTGGGAAATGGTGACTGGAAGGGCCGGGATGAGGTGCACCGTCAGCGTCAGGAAGGAGCTCCTGGCTGCTTGGGAGAGTCTGTTTGGAGGCGTCTAACGGGCCTTTAGTGGAAGCTGACAGCGGGAAGCTGGGAGAGACGTCCGGCCTCCACCCTGGGCTCCCGCTCGGAGCGCTGGCTTATCTCTGGGGTGAGTGCCCCAGAGATGTCTTATTGTATTTATTTATTTAAAAATAGGTATTTTTATTGATTTCAGAGAAAAAGGGAGAGGGAGAGAGAAACATCAATGATGAGAGAGAATCATGGATCGGCTGCCTCCTGCACGCCCCACAGTGGGGATCGAGCCTGCAACCCTGGCCTGTGCCCTTGACCGGAATCGAACCTGGGACCCTTCAGTCTGCAGGCCGCCGCTCTATCCACTGAGCCACACCAGCCAGGGCTGTTTTTGTGTTTTCTTCGAGTGTGAGGTGTTCCTGCTACTGTGCACGTGTGATGTGAAATTGGCAAGCGTGGCGTGAGCATGACCTCTCCTGCCAGGACGGTTCCTGAACGGACTGGTGGCCTGGCGGGCGCCTGGGTTAGTCCCTCCAGCCTTCTGCTCTGTCACGGCGTCTGCAGAATGGCCGTCGAGGCACAGCCAGTGTCTGTTGATGCACCGGGGCCTTTGCCTGGGGTCATGTTCAGGTTTCCTGACGTCTGACCTGGGGGTACCTGACACCTGAAGGACCCTCTGTTCAGAGCTGTTGGCGGCCGAGCTGGGAACTCTGCACCTGGCTCGCTGGTCCCTGAGGACGGGGCTGCGACGGAGATGAAGCCAATAACTGTCATGAGCGCTCGTGACTGTGAGGCACCCGGACCGCAGGCCTGAGGACAAACCGCAGGCACCTCAGCAGGTGAGGCCTCCCTGGCGGTTCCTAACTTCCAAGGAGGCGGCCCCCCCCCCCCCCCCCCCCCCCACCTGCTGAAGCCAGGCTGCACCTTGGGTCCCTAAACGGTTTTGGGGTCAAAAGAGAACTTTCAGAGGACAGCAGCTGAAATCTGCCTTTTAACCCCTACAGTGCCAGGGAGCGCGATCGCGCTCCTCCTGTCTTTCGCCAAAAGTGCCGGGAGCGCTATCAAAGCTTCGAAATGGCGTCCGATTCTAAGTCTGCTTTTATTAGTGATGACGATATTGCTAAATATGTCAATGTAGTAAAGGTTTCCTTAAGTTTTTGAATATGTAACTTCATTTACTTGCGATTCATAATTTTTTTCCTAAACCGCTGAAAAATCAGCAAAAATGCCTTGGCGATTTTAGCAGAGTTCCTAGGATATTGGTTGGCACTCAGAGGGTTAATTGTTACTTTCATCACCAGGACTGCGCCAGGCTTTCGGGATTAATGGTATCATCTCTCCACTCGGTGAAACCATATTTCCCGGCCCTTTTTAAAAAATGTATTTTTATTGATTTCAGAGAGGAAGGGAGGGAGAGAGAGAGAAACATCAGTGATGAGAGAGAATCATGGATCGGCTGCCTCCTGCACGCCCCACACTGGGGTTCGAGCCCCCAACCTGGGCCTGTGCCCTGACCAGGAACCGAACCGGGACCTCCTGGTTCATAGGTTGATGCTCAACCACTGAGCCACACCGGCCGGGCCATTTATTTTTTTTAAAACAAAACTCCATCACCGATGGCAGAGACCATCCCGAGTGGACAAGGCAAGGAGACCACAGGTGGTAACGGTGTGTGTTCGAGGGGCGTGCGGGGTGCTGTGCGAACACGGCTGTGGAAGGAGCCATGATGTGAATATGCCCACGTGCAGTTCTCACCCCTGGAGCCCCAGTTAGCCTCGTTTTCTCTCCCTTTTCTGCTTTTTTGCTTCTTTCCCTGCCTGCCTCTATTTTTGTCTCCCATTAGCACTTGACGCTCTCACTTCCTGGGCCGGGACATGATCTCCTGCCCCCCCCCCCCCCCCCCCACCTCCTTTCCTGCCACTTCACAGTGAATTTAGAGTCCTTACCCAAACAGGACCCTTTTTCTCCTCAAAGCACTGCCCCAGGGCCTCTGACTTTTAAAAACAAGTTTTAAATCTACATGGTAAGCAAGGGCATTTAATTAACCATCCTCAGTAATTACCAAGGAGCAGTTCTCTTTGCCCTAAAAAAGGGGGGCAGTCAGACTCTTTTCTAGGCGCTTTGAAAGCTGGGTGACTCCTGGTGAGGCTGGAGAGGGAAGGCCTTGGGGATGAGGGGCCTTGGGATGCGGAGGGAGGCGGGGCCCACTGTTGGGTGTTTCCTTCCATGTCCCGAGTGGAGTAGGGTTCGGTACCTGAAAGAGGAGCCGCGCAACAAATGAGAGAAAAAGACACGAGATAATTTTGCAATATTGGAGGACCAGGCGGGCCAAGTCCCGAAGGACTTCCACCCATGCTCAGGCTGCTCCAATCTTTTATTGATCTGGAGTAGCCCTTAGGGTAAGGAAGTTTCAATGACACACAGATCAGCAGACAATTTCCAGGAGTAGACAAAAAGTATCTGATTAACTCATCAATAGATTTCCGGGAGTATCTGATTAACAATAATCAACAAGGATCTACATAAGTATCTAAGGAATTAAGGGAACTAAGGTGGGGATGCTTCAACTATTATTACCTAAATTAACTGAGTGGTTCCTAGATTAACTGGGTGGTGCACAGCCCTGACCTTTGCTAGGACTTTCAATGGCTACTAGCTTTTGGGGGGTCTCTGTCTAAACTCAGCTAGTGAAGACAATGAATGGACTCCAGCAGCCCACGTGTGGTCGTCAGGCGGAGCCCTGGTCTCTGTTTGTTACTCACGTGCTGTTCTGTGGCTGACGTCTTACCAGGGAGGGCCCTAGGCTGTGTGGTTTGGTGACTAGAGCATGGGCTTGGGGTTCGGGCAACAGGTCCAAATCTGCCCAGTCTCTTCTTTATTTTAAAGAAAATATATATTTTTATTGATCTCAGGGAGGGAGAGAGAGCAACATCCATGATGAGAGAGAATCATGGATCAGCTGCCTCCTGCACAGCCCCTACTGGGGACCGAGCTGCAACGGGGCCTGTGCTCTGACCGGGAATTGAACTGTGACCTCCTGGTTCAGAGACCAACACTCAGTCACTGAGCCAGGCGGCCGGGCCCCCGTCTCTTCCTAGGTGAGCTGTGGGCGTGCCCATGAGACTTGCTCTGAGAGAGAGGAGACTCCGGCAAGTAATGGGGGTGATGTTTGTGTAACGTCTAGAGCTCACCAGGTCCATCGCTGTTACCGTCAGAGACCACATGTAGGAAATAAATATTTCAGAAGCTCAGCATTCTGTCTGGACGTATCGTCCGTAGCAGGTTAGTCAGGGTCGAGTGTAGACAGAGGAGGTGACACCCAGTGTTACAACTTTCTGGTCAAGGAGGCGGGGCTTGTTTTCACTGTTCCATTGTGTTCCCTGTCGTTGACTGTAAAAGTACATAGAAACCTCTAGTAAGACATGTGAAGGCATCTTCTGGAGTAAAATTAGTTTTTCTTTTAAAACAACCTAGAGTCTGCTCTAACCGGTCTGGTTCAGTGGGTAGAGCGTTGGCCTGCGGACTGAAGGGTCCCAGGTTTGATTCTGGTCAAGGGCATGTACCTTGGTTGCGGGCACATCCCCAGTAGGAGATGTGCAGGAGGCAGCTGATCGGTGTTTCTCTCTCATCGATGTTTCTAACTTTCTATCCCTCTCTCTTCCTCTCTGTAGAAAATCAATAAAATAAAAAATTCTCTCTTAAAAAACAAATAAACAAAACAACCTAGAGTCAGCGTTGTCCGTGGAACGTTATCTAAGCAAGGGGCAGGCCCCGTGGCCGGGGCTGCAGGTCTCTCATCGCATCAGCCCTTTTGTTTTGCTGAGAAGACAGACGGGCTCTTACAAGAGACGGAGTTGAAACAGTTTTCCTTCTTGTTTTGTGTCCAGGAAACCTGAACACGGACCAGAACATTCTCAGCACATGAATAAGCCGGCGAAGGCTGGCGGGCCCCTGGGGAGCTGTATCGGAAGGATAGGGTTTCTTCTCTCTGGAAAGGACAGGCTGCTGGCAGCTCTCCCCTCTGCTGGCCGTGCATCCTGCTGATGTGTATTTGTCTGTTCAAATGGCGAGTCTTCAACACTCTTCTTAGGAATGAATTCTGCTGCAAAGCTGGTGAAATCTGTTTATTTTTATGTCCGAGAGGAGCGAATGGTTTCTCTCTAGTGCTGCGGTCACTCCACCCCTAATGGAGGCCAATGATTGATTAGCGTATCGATCAGGTCTAGGGAATTGTGTTCTGTGGAAATCCAGGCCTTTGGATTTTCCAGTTGGTCTGGCCTGTTGCCTCCAACCAGCTTAAGATTTTCTAATTTGACGGCATTTACAACTAAAGTAACAGGTGACGGAGTTTTGGTGGGAAGATGGGGTGAAAGAACGGAATGGAATAGAGGGAAGATTTCCACTTTGATCTCTCTCAGGAGGAGGCAGGAGAGAGTCGGGAATTATGGGGCCACACGGACCCATCAGGAGCTGACGGAAAGTTTCTCATGATGTAGTTTCCGTCCAAATTAAAGTTAAAGGACAGACAGACAGGAGGGTGTGGAGATGGGCGGAAAC